ATATATATATATATATATATATATATCATATATATCATATATATATGATATATATATATGATTATTGTGAACATTAAAAAAAATGTATTTTTAAGGGCTTAGAACAATGCCTGACACATAGCAAGTGCTATAAGAGTCAACGATGATGATGATGTTGTCATGGTCATCTTGTTAAATTTCAGATTCCCTTCCATGGCCCTTAGTCTCTACAGCCCCATCCATTTCTTTTGAACTCCAAGCTACATTGTCTTTTGCCTGTTCTCATAAGGGCAATCTTTGTATCTTTGGCCTCAGGGCCTTATGCATATCTAATGCATATGCTATTATCTGTCTCTAGGACTAGAATATAAGTTACATGAGGGTAGAGATTTCTCTCTGTTTTGTTCCCCACTGTGTCCCAAACAACTAGCAGATGTTCAGTAATATCTGTTAAATTAGTGGATATCTACTACAACAATTAGGCCCAGCGCCTAGCACAAAGTCTGACTTCTACTCCACTCTACTCTACTCTACTCTACTCTACTCTACTCTACTCTACTCTACTCTATTCCATTCCATTCCATTCCATTCCATTCCATTCCATTCCATTCCATTCCATTCCATTCCATTTTACCCTATACTATTATATTCATTCCATTCCACTGTGTTCCAGTCTATTCAAACCATTACATTTTAAACAATTGATTTCACTGAGCCCCAACTGTAAAAAATGCTGTGCTGTTGTATTTTCATGAGTGGAAGAGGTGTTAGCAATGTTGCTGAGTTTTACTGTCCTGGTGGATACAGAGGATCCACAGGGACACAGAAGCAGTATAATGAGAAAATGACTGGCATTTGGGCTCCATTGAAAATAAAGTAGAATGCTAAAAACCTTTTAATGTCTGTAGGGTCTGTAATAGCACCCCCTTCTCATTTCTGATATTGGTAATTTATATTTTTTTCTGTTAAAAATTTGAGAGAAAACAGACATTACTAATATTTTATTAATCTGTTCAAAGAATGAATTTATGACCTTGTCAATTTTCTCCAATGTATGTTTGCTTTCTATTTTACCAGTTTCTGCTCTTTATAATTCCTTCCTTCCACTTTCATAAACGTAAATTTGCTGTTCCTTTTCTAGCTTCTTGATAAGGAAGCTCAAATCATTGGTTTTCAATTTCCTCATCTCTGCATTTGGAACTATAGATTACCCACTAAGCACAGCTTTAGCCATAACCCCCAATTTTGGTAGTCTATTGGAAATCAACTCAACCCATTCCTCCCATTTTCAGTGCCTGCCAGCTCAGACTCACTCCCCAGATTCTGGTTTGCAGAGAAGGAACTCCATCCTCACAAATTCAAGGATGAGCAGGGCTGGTTCTCTTAAGGACCCAGAAGAAGGCCAGTGTGGTTTAGAATCCAAAAGTGAGTGAGGCATGAGTAGGTGGAGAAGGCAAGGGCCAGATAGTTCAGGGTTGTTGAGGCAAGGTGAGGGAGGCTGGTTTATAAAAAGATCATCAGGACATAGTAATCATATAAGGCTTACTCTTTGCCAAGCCCTGTTCTAAGCACTACATGAAATGTAATCCATCTTATTCCCCACAGCAAATCTCTCTATATAATAGAGTGCCCAGAACACGATGTCCTCCCTCCTGCCTCCTCTTTTTCTACAGAATCCTCTACAAGGTCTCCTTCAGGGTGTCAGGGGCCCCTGGAATTCTCCTGGCAAAGTTCAAGGTCAGTGCCCTGTTTTCTGGCCCTTTCCCACACTGCCCCATCTTGATATTCCTGGCCAAACTGGCTCCCTGGAGCCACCCTGAGGGAGCAAAGCAGTCATCCCTCAGCTCAGGGCCACTCCTGCAGACGTGTTGCAGTCTGACTGAGTTAGAACAGGGCCTTTCCATGTCCCTCTGCTGCCCTCTGCTTGTCTTTGAAAGAGGAAGAGAGAGGAGGACCAGGAAAATGGATGTCCGCACTTCAGGATAGCCCACAGAGAAAGGAAACCGGTTACCAGGCCTGGGCTAGGCAATTCCCAGCCTTGGGGCAAACGCCTATGCCCCAGGCCCCTGGGATCACCCCACTCACCTGCTTCTCCAAAGTCCTGCCCCACATCCTGGCTGGCAGCCTGGAGGGCAGACGGTACAGCATGGCAGGCTAGGTGTCTTTGCCCTGGAGCCTCCAGACAACCCTTTGGCTCAGTGCCTAGAGATCAAGGGGCAGAAATGGGAGGGCCCCAGGCTGAGGACTGCTGGTAGTAACAGAAGTCGGCAGTATAAGAACTCTGATATAAAACTCAGGGCCGTGAAAGTAAAAGTTTAAGGTGTGACTTGGTCAGCTCAGGCCACCATAACAAAGCACCACAGACTGGGGGGCTTAAACAACAGAAATCAGTTTTCTCACAGTTCTGGAGGCCCAAAGTCTGAGATCAGGTGCTAGCAGGATCACATTATGGTAACATCTCTCTTTCTGGCTTGAAGAGGACCACCTTCTCTCTGTGTCCTCACATGGTGGAGAGAAAGAGCAGGCTCTGGTTTCTTATAAGGGCATCAATCCCATCATGAGGACCCCACCCTCATGACCTCATCTAACCCTAAACACCCCCCCAAAGGCTTCACCTCTGAATGCCATGACACTGGGGGTTAGGGCTTCAACATAAGGATTTGGGGGGACACAAACATTCGGTCCATAACAAGGTGTATGTGTAAGGGATTGCTTTGTAATAACACAGAAAAATCACCCATCCCAAGTATGGTGGGGGGATCTTTATTCTAGGATGCGAGACCTCTGGTCTCCTTAGGCTTGTGTCCCCAGAATATGAGACCCCTGATCTATTTGGGAGTCAGAGTTTGTGTCCAGGGTGTGAAGTTAAAAGCTATCTGGGTTAAGATATGACCACTCTGGCTTATGGGTCTGTTTCTGAGCCGTTAAGTGCTCTGTGTCCCAGGGTGCAATGTTTCTGAATTCTTTTAGGGTGTGAACTCTCAGGTTTTCCCCATCCCCAGTCATCCCTTTACCATGCCCTCTCCCAACACTGCTGAGAGGGAACATTCATCAGTCCCACTGTTGTTTACCTTATCCTGAACTGAGTTCCCTGTGTGTGGTGGTGGTGGTGGTGGTGGTGGTGGTGGTGGTGGTGGTTTATTTGTCTAGCTCCTGGGGCATGGGGCATGTGAGTTTGAAATTTTCCTAGGCACACCCCAGATATACCCCCCCCACACACACAAGTTCTCTGTGCTATGCTTATTGACTTTAGCATATGATTTTCCCCTTATACTACATGAATATAGGTTTGCATAAAAAGTTTCAACAGTACATCAGTATATGGACTACAAGGACATCCTCCAGTCTCCCAAAATTACCACTGAGGACAGTTGCTAGTGTTTCCTTACACTCGTGCACACGTATCACCATAACCAGCCCCCACCTGCTTTTCTTTGTCAACAGCCTGTCCTGTGGAAGGCACACACAGGTCTCACTCATTCTGTCTCACACCCAGCGGGTGCTCTGTGGTAGAATATGAACCCCCAGCATTCATGTCACTCTGTGAAAGTCATTGGCTATATTATAGGTGGACATTTACAAGGTTGTCCCAATTGTTGGCTCCTACCAGCCTTGTGCACACAGCTCTGAAAATGTACATGCATGTTAGAGTTAGAAGTGGAATTGAGGGGTCAGAGGGTTCATTCATTCACCAAACACCTAATGAGTGTGTTCTGTGTACTGACTGCTGTTCTAGGTGCTGCGGTGACATTAAAGAACTAGATGGACAAATGTCCTTGCCCACATGGAGCTGACATTCTAGTTGGGGAGGAAGAGGGTGTAAAATGTTGATTTCCATAAATGTTTCACAAGATCCTGGAAGGTTTTACTCCCATTAATGGTGCCTTTACTGGCTTCCTCTCCACTACTCCCTGCAGGCTGGAGTCTGTCGCGGGAGGCTAGCTGTCTTGGTCTTCGCTCTCTTCAAAATCTGCAGGGGCTGGGGCTGGGATGGTCTATTTGGGAATGTGGATATATATATGTGTGTGGTTGGGGAGGAGGCTATGGGAATTGAATGGTCCACTGGAGAGAGTGAGGGGAAATAGGAATAGAAGAGGTCACTTGGTGGTGTGGGCCGGAGCTAGGGACACAATGATCTGCTGAATTAGGTATGAACATCCACTCTCAGGTCACATCCACAGAGGGTGTGGGGGAGTAGCAATGCTGAGGAATCCAGTACTGTCTTAGAATATACCATCGTGTGGACACCCTTCAGGTCACAGAGATAGTGGTGTGCATAATTCTGGAGTCACACAAAGTGGAGTGTGAACAGTCGTGGAGCCACATAGATAGGGGTGTGGCCACCACATGAGGTAGTATACTCTAGGGGGTGGACAGCCTTGGGTTACTCAGATGGGGGTCTGGGCAATCCAGAAGTCACACACCGTAGGGAGTGGTTACTCCTTGAATCATACACACTGAAGTCTGCACACTCTTGAGGTCATGCAGAGTGGGTAGTAGACACTTCTGGGGTCAGATTGACTACCATGTTGACACTATAGTAGTCAAACAAAGTGGGAAGCAGATGGTCCTGGGGTCAAACAGATTTGCATATGGACACTTCTGGGGTCACACATGCTAGGGAGTAGACACTCCTGAGTCACCCAGACTGGCTAATAGACATTCACAGGGTCACACATGCCAGGGTGTGGACATTCCAGGGGTCAGATAGCAGATTGGATTGTGGAGATTTTGGGGTCATTCAGACTGGGATGTGGGCACTCCTGGACTCAGCCTAAGGTGTAGATGACTATGAGGTAAGAATGAATGGGTGTGGACAGACATGATGTCACAAAGATGGGGGTTTGAACATTCCTGGAGTCACTCATGCTGGAGTGTGGACAGACATAGGGTCACTCAGAGGTGTGAACACTCCAAGGGTTCTGTTACACACACTGGAGAGTGGAAATCTCTGGGGTCACACAGGGGGAGTTTGGGACTCTTTAAGTTAAAAACACTGGGAAATGGAGACTCCTAAAAGCACACATATTGTGGATTGGGCATTCTTTGTGTTACATAGACTGGGATGTGAACATCTATGGTGTTATACAGACTGAGGAGTAGACACTCCTGGGATTGTAGTGACTGAGGTAGGGACAGTTACCTGGTCAAATAAATGATGTGTTGGCACCCCTCAGGTCAGAAACTGAGGTGCAGACACTCCTGTGGTCACACAGAGTGATTGATGGATACTCCCTGGTATAGACTTAGGAGTGGACACTGCTGAGGTCAGACTATAGTGTGGATGGCCATGGGATCACACAAACCAGGATGTGAATTGTCTTGGGGTCACACAGACTGGGTGTAGACATCCCTGCAGTCACGCAAATGGATATTTGGACACTAAGGGGGTCACACGGAAAGGAGAACAGACTGTCATGGAATCACACATGCTGGGGACTTAACACTTCTGGAGTCACTCACATGAGGGTTTGAATACTCACTGTCATAGACTAACGTGTGGACACTTTCGGTGTCACACAACTTGGGAGGTGGGCACTCCTGGGATTACACATACTGGTGTATGGACACAACTGTGGTCACACAGATTGAGTTTTGGACACTGCTGGAGTTACACACACTGGGATGGGGACACCTCTGGCATCACACACACGGGTGTGCATGTTCATGATGTCACACAGAATGAGAGGATGCTCCTGGGGTCACACAGATTGGGGAGGGAATGATGCTAGAGGTGTGCATTTGTTGACCCTGATTAAGGGGAGAAAGTTTAGGAGTGCCTGAGTGGCTCAGTTGGTTGAATGTCTGACTTCGGCTCAGGTCAGGATCTCACAGTTCTTGGGTTCAAACCATGCATCAGGCTGTGCTGACAGCTCAGAGCCTGGAGCCTGCTTTGGATTCTGTGTCCCTCTCTCTCTCAGCCCCTCTTCTGCTAGCACTCTGTCTCTAAAACATGAATAAATGTTGGAAAAAAGTTTTAGGGGCAGCTGGGTGGCTCAGTCAGTTAGGCAACCGACTTGGGCTCAGGTCACGATCTCATGGTTCATGAGTTCCAGTCCTGCATCAAGCTCTGTGCTGACAGTCTGCTTCGGATTCTGTCTCCTTCTCTTTCTGCCCCTCCTCTGCTCACACACTGTCTCTCTCTCAAAAACGAATAAACATTTTAAAAATTTGTTTTCAAAAGAAGAGAAAAATTAAGGTGCCTGGGTGGCTCAGTCGGTTGAGCGTCGGACTTCGGCTCGGGTCATGATCTCACGGTTCATGAGTTCGAGCCCCATG